CTTCACATTGAGCCTATTTGTGTTCTTAAAGGTGATGTGAGTCTCTTGTAGGCAGCATATAGTTGGGTCTTGTTTTTTTTTTTTTTTATAATTTTATTTATTTATCTTTTTCCCCCAAAGCCCCAGGAGATAGTTGTATGTTATAGTTGCACATCCTTCTAGTTGCTGTATGTGGGACGCGGCCTCAGCATGGCCGGAGAAGCAGTGCGTCGGTGTGCACCCGGGATCCGAACCCGGGCAGCCAGCAACAGAGCGCGCGCACTTAAGCACTAAGCCATGGGGCCGGCCCTGGGTCTTGTTTTTTTATCCATCCAGCCACTCTGTGCCTTTTGATTGGAGAGCTCAGTCCATTTAGATTTAGAGTTGTGCACTGCATAACGACGTTTTGGTCACCAGCAGACCGCATATATGATGGTGGTCCCATGAGATTATAATGGAGCTGAAAAATTTCTGTCACCTAGCAATGTCATAAGCATAACATAGCACAATGCATGACTCACGTGTTTGTGGTGATGATGGTGTAAACAAACTTACTGCACTGCCAGTTGTGTAAAGTATAGCACATACAATTATGTACAGTACACAATACTTGATAATGATAATAAACGACTATGTTACTGGGTTATGTATTTACTATACTATATTTTTTATCATTATTTTAGAGTATACTCTACTTATAAAAAGTTTACTGAAAAACAGTATGCCATGTTACACCAGCAGCAGCCTCATACATCTCGTGTTTACTGCATCTCTTGATTGCATCCTTTTCTTATGTGCTTGATTTAAGCACACTCTGATTTTCACACAACAATGAAATTGCTTAGCAATGCATTTCTCAAACTGTCCTCGTTTTTAAGCAATATGTGACTGTAATTATAGATGTGTAAGGACTTACTTGTGCCATCTTTTTCATTGCTTTCTGGCTGTTTTGAAGTTTCCTTGTTCCTTTTTGACTCTTCTTGCTGGGTTGTTGTGTGAATTGGTGATTTCCCATCGATGGATGCTCTGATTCCCTAATCTTTATCTTTTGTGAGTCTACTTTAAATTTTTGCTTTGTGGTTATTGTGAGACTTAAATAAAATATAGATAAAGCAGTCTATTTTATACTAACAGGTTAACATCTATCACATACAAAACCTCTACCCTTTTATGTTTTTTATGTCACAATTTGCCTCTTTTTATATTGTGTATTTGTTAACAAATTATAGTAGCTATAGTTATTTTTGATACTTTTGTTCTAACCTTTATGCTAGAGTCTAAGTGGTTAACACACTGTTATATTACAGTATTAGAGTTATATGAATTTGACTACATATTTGTCTTTATCAGTGTGTTTTATATTTTCATGTTACTGGTTAGCTTCCTTCATTTCAGCTTGAAGAACTCCTTTCAGCATTTCTTGTTAGGCAAATGTAGTGGTGATAATTTCTTAGCTTTTGTTTGTCTGAGAAAGTCTTTATTTCTCCTTCATTCCTAAAGTATAACTTTGCCAGATAGTGTATTCTTGGTTGGCATTTTTTTTCTTTCAGCACTTTTAATATATCATCACACTCTCCTGACCTGTAAGATTTCTGCTTACGAATTTGCTGATATTCCTTTGGGGGTTCCTTTGTAGGGTTACAATCTTCTTTTCTCTTGCTGCCTTTTGGTTTCTCTCTTTGTATTTGATTTTTGACAGTTCTATTATAATGTGTGTTGAGGAAGGTCATTTTAGATTGAAATAATGGGATAATCTATTAGCTTCATGAACTTGGATGTCCAAATCTCTTCCCAGGTTTGGGAGGTTCTCACCCATTATTTCTTTAAATAAACTTCATGGTTTCCTCTCCCTCTCTTCTTCTGGAACTCTGATGATTTGGATATTATATTTTTTTGAAAATGTCTCATAGATAATGTAGGCTTTCTTCACTCTTTTTCATTCTTTTCTCTTTTTTCTCCTTGGAGTTGGTTATTTCAAAGTTCCTATCCTCTGTATCACTGATTCTGTCTTCTATTTGTTCTACTCTGTTTTTGATGCTCTGTATTGCATTTTTCACTTCATTCATTGAATTCTTTAGCTCCAGAATTTCTCTTTGGTTCTTTTTTATTATTTCTATCTTTTGTTGAATTTCTCATTTTGATCATTTTTTGTTTTCCTGATTTCACTGAATTGTCTTGCTGTGTTTTTTTGTACCTCATTGAGTTTCCTTAAAACAGCTATTTTGAATTCTTTATTGGGTAAATCATAGATTTTCATGTCTTTGGGTTCGGTTACTGGAAGATTATTGTGATCTTTTGGTGATGTCATGCTTCCTTGATTTTTTCATCTATCTGATGGAGTCCAGAATGCATAAGCTGGAACTGCATCCCTTTAATGAACGTCCTCTGGGAATCTTTTATGTCACTTTCCTGATTTGCTGTTTCCCCCAGTCATGGAGATCCCTCTTTAATTCTCTGGATGCCATGAGAGAGAAATGAGTCTCCTCAGCACAGATTTGGAGACTGGGCATTCACTCACTTTCTCTCCCTTTCCCTTGTGGAAGAAGTCCTGGGCCATCTATTTAGCCCTAAGCCGTGCCACCCAGGGGAAGGGGTGATGTCAGCAAAGACAAACTGTTCCACTTACCTACTTCAGTGAAACCAAACTCATTTTTTTTTTAGTCAATGGAGTGTTAGAACTTCTCTGGAAATCTAAACTTCCACAAAAGCTCTCTCATCCGGAGGTGACTACCCAAGTCACTGTTCTGCAGGCACCCCTGGACCACAGCTTAGAGGCCAGAACCGGTTCACAGTCTTCTTTAGGTTCCATAAGTGGTACTGAAATCCATCTGCCCGTTATTTGCTGCAGTGGTGGGCTAGACTCACCATGGGTCCGTTGGTGTAAAGTGTTGGGTTCTACAACTCACACAAAGGCACTTCCGTGTGTGGATGGATGCCTCATTTTGTTGTTTAAAGGGAAGCACAGAAACAAGGAACTTCTTATGCTGCCATGATGTTGACATCACCTCTTTTTAGGTTATTAATATTTATCCTTAATAATTTTTTCCTGAATATTCACAAGAGGTGTCTGGATGAGAGCTTTCTTATTTACCATACAGAAAATAACCAATGAGTGATTCCCTGTGTCTTAGGTCTTACCTGGGAGGCAATGCAATGAAAGCTGGGTCAAGTGCCCTACACACACGAAGTCCATATTGTAGGCAAGGAATGAAGAAAAATAAGTTTTCTGTGCTAATTTTTATAAAGAGGAAAGAGGCAACTATCTCCCCTTCCCCTTTTGAGAGAGTCTCATTGGAAACGTCTTATTGTAAGTCTTTGGAATATAAATAAATCTGTCTATGAAATAGATAAGCCCATTTGTGTTTAATTTTACAACTCTGAAATGTCTCCCTGTTCCAGGGCCTCATCCATGACCCTTTAAAATATAAACACATAACTCCAGGGTTAAGTATATCTCTCGAGAGTTCTCCCAGTGTATACAATTGTAACTTAATTCCTAAGGTTTGCTTTTAGTCTAGAATCCCAAATTTCAGTAAAATTTGCCCTGAAAGCTCTACCTGAGCAGTAACATGAGAACATTTTCTCTATAGTCCCACAGAGGGAATTTCATTATAATAATGAATCAGTTCATCACAAAGACATAACAGTCATACATTTGTCTATACCTAATAACAAAACTTCAAAATACAGGAAAGCAAAGGCAAGGCAGAATTAAAGAGACAAATATACAATTTCAGAATCATAGTTGGGGATTTTAATACCCCTCAGCAGTTGATATAGCAATTAGATTTTTCAAAAATCAGGAGACAAATCTAAATAACAGTATCAACTATATGTTTAAAAAAAAAATTGCTGGGGGGCCAGCCCTGTGCCTTAGCTGTTAAGTGCACGCGCTCTGCTACTGGCGGCGCGGGTTCGGATCCCAGGCGCGCACCAACGCACCGCTTGTCGGCCATGCTGAGGTGGCGTCCCACATAAAGCAACTAGAAGGATGTGCAACTATGACATAGAACTATCTACTGGGGCTTTGGGGGAAAAAAGGAGGAGGATTGGCAATAGATGTTCGCTCAGGGCCGGTCTTCCTCACAAAAAAAACCCCCAAAAAACCGAAAAAAAAACATTACTAAATTCCCCTTGAGAAAGACTATCAGCAGTGAATACGAACACCTGTTTCCTTAGCTCTTAGCAGCCTTGGGACTTAATATTTTTTAAAAAATTTTATTACCTGTTAATCTAATAGGTAAACCATGGTACTTGACTTATTTGCATTTCATTATTTGCCAAGTGATTGAACATTTTTCCATATGCTTGTCATTTGATTTTTTCTTTTTATGAGGTACCTTGATAATTTTAGGTCTATTTTTGTATTGTTATGGTCTTTTTTAAAATTTATAATGTCTTACATTGCAAATATTTCCCCTATGTCATTAACTTTTAAACCATCTTTCTTATGTTTGTTAACTTAATGGAAGTTAAAATGTTTGTGTAGGGGCTGGCACGGTAGCCTAGTGGTTAAGATTGCACGCTCCACTTCAGCAGCCCAGGGTTCGCAGGTTTGGATCCTAGGTGTGGACCCATGCACAGTTCATCAAGCCATGCTGTGGCAGCATCCCATATATAAAATAGAGGAAGGTGGGCACCGATGTTAGCTCAGGGCTAATCTTCCTCAGCAAAAAGAGGAAGATCGGCAACAGACATGAGCTCATGGCCAATCTCCCTCACCAGAAAAAACAAAAAGAAAAGTTTGTGTAGTCAAATTCATCTTTTTTTTCTTTTCCTTCGGTTTCTGCAACTTATTTTTTGTGGTCCTACTTACGACTTATAGTTCATATAGGGCATTATCTCATTTATTAACTTTATAAAAGCCAAGGTAGACTCCAACCAGTGAAGCATTGAAATGGGCCAGGTGATATAATTTCTGTCTGTTATGGTCTTACAACTTAGACTGTTAGTTAAAGTATTTATTACAATATCGTCCTAGTCTTGTGCAATTTAAATTTATGTCTCCTTTTGGTTCTCAGATCATTCATAATTTCACGAGGCGGATCCAGACCAAAATCAAAGATCTTCTACAGCAAATGGAAGAAGGGCTGAAGACAGCTGATCCACATGATTGCTCTGCTTATACTGGTTGGACAGGTGAGAATATGGGGCATAATTAATTGGTATGTTTTATTTTTGGAGTATGATATATAAGACTTGGCTTTGAAAGTTTTTCCTTGTAAAATGGTAAAGTTTTATACCCTTTAAATGAAGTCTTCAACTGTTTTCATTGATGAGATGCTTTGGAATTTTTTTCTAAAGAAATTCTTTCTGCCTGAAGTTTGACCTTTAATATGTAGTATGTCATGTTTTTATAACGTTGTTTATTTGACTTAATATATGGCTGTCAATGAAGATGTTTAATAATAACAGACTTGCTCTAGGGTCAGATTCTTTCTTTACTTTTGTTGCTTTGATCTTTGTCACAAGATGTAGTTGTGTGATTTCTCTGGTGTGATTTCTCTGGTCTGTTACACAGAAACTATTTAACATATTGCTTGTGTACTCATTTGACTCATTTGTACACATAAAGATTTTGATTTTGATTTTGATAACAATTAAGCAACCAGTAATACACTTGCCATCAAAAGACTTAATTTCAAAATTAGCTTGCCTTAACAAATGTTTACATTCTTATTATATTACCATGTAGTCAGAACATTGTAATAGTTATTTGGGTAATATAAAAGAAATAAAAGGCAGACCTTGTTCTGAGGAATTAGAGTGCAGTATGATTATTGCTAGTGGCAATTTACATATAAATTTATAGGCTTTTCATGCTAAATTTTTATAGTTTAATCAATGAACAGCATAGACACAAGTATATATGTTAGAGTCAACATGAACTGATACCTGGTTTTGCAATGCACAACCAAACATGGTGGCTCTGATCATTTTGTATTTGTATTTATATTAATTTCTATGATGCTTTACTTGTTATTTGTCTATTATGAATAAAATATTTACACAGTGATGTTAGAATTAACTTTTAAACCCAGACAGACGTGGAGCTGGTTCACTTACAGAGCCAAAGAAGTGTATCCTAAATCTAAAACTAGATAATTTTGGCTAACCTGAAGTAAAATACAAAAAAATAATGGTATTTTGAAAGGAAAAATAATCTAGTTATTAGTAGCACAGATTTCCCCTAAAAAATCTTTACTTATAGCATTTCTTCTTGTTGTTGAGAAAGGGTTTTTCACTCCATGGTTGTTAGGTCCCAAATTATCTGTGCATCAGAATCATCCAGAGAGCTTTCTAATAAACAAAGATTATCAGTCTCCACCCCAGAACAATTACATCAGGAACTCTGGGGAGGATTCCAAGAATCAGTGTTTTTAAAAAATCCCCATTTGTTGTCATCTTTTGGAATCAGTGATAGGGCCATCATGGAGGTATTTTCTTTGAATGGTTTAGAATAATATTTAGGGCTTTGGGGTTCAAATAGCATTATGGAATCCACTTAGACCCATATGTCCCTATCCTTTCTCCTAAAACTGTACAGTCTAAGAATAAGGAATGAATGCAGCACCCACAACTTAGCCCTTTAGGAAAATTGTGAGATAGAGAAAAGACAGATAATGGTGGGTGAAAAACAAACAGCATCCCCAGTGAATGTGGAAGACACAGTGGGATAGCAGGTGAGGGAAGAAAGGGTCTTGGGGTGGCAGACTCTATCCTGCCACTTCCCCCTCCCAAATCAACAAATAATTATTCCTAGGAGTGAGCCATACCCTGAGGGGAAACTTTTGAGGGCATATCTGAGGGCAAAGTCGGCAGGTAAAACTGGGAGAGACAGAGAAAGAAAGGTATGGAGAGTGTACGGGGAACAGATGTTATAGACTTAAAGAGCACTATTTGAAAAGAGAGAGGATTAATTTACAAGGCAGAAGGAGCATCCCTGGTGGCACTGGCTAATGATGTAGATAAGGAGGGAGGGAAATAGCAATGAAAGGAGCCCTCCTAAAACAAGAAAGAATGTGAGAATCAAAGGAAATCTGGCCATCAAAAGTCATTGTATGTTAAATAAATTGTTCATCACTTAATAAGAAGAGGATGCCTTTGAGATTAAAAAAACTGGGAGAGCTACCCTAACCATTTTCCTCTTTTAGAGAATCTTCCTGTTAACAGTTGATCCAGAAAAATTCATCCAATAGAAATTTAAGAAAAAAATTAGCAATTATATATATAATATTAGGGAAAAAAGGGAAAATCAGAATGTTTTTAGAAGGAAACATACCAGAAAAATGCCACTACAAAGTGGAGAAAAATTGCAGTACTTTCAACATTAATTTTGTAAGTTAATTAAGCAATAAGTTCACAAAGCAGAAATGAACTTGGACAAGAGATGGCAAGACAATAAGATGATGTGAAATAAGACTTGACAGAACTAAGAAAAGAAAGTGACGGAAAAGACAAAATCATTTCAGAAATGAAGACCAAATTACAAGGAGTTGAAGAAAGAACTGACAGCACAGAAAGCACGGCAAACCATAAAAAGGAAAAAAAGAAATAAAAATAAGTTGAAAAGAGAATTCTAGTTTCTGTTCTGGCATGTAAAAAAAGTTTAGAAGTCACCAATCTATCCTATTAAGTAAAAAGCTGAACAAAGTGAAAAATCAACAACTCTTCTTAGATCCATCAGAGAAGTGAGGTTACAGGGCAAATGGCTACACCAAAAATTGGAAAGATAAGACAGGCAGATTCAGAAAATCACAATTTACCAGAGCAGAGATCCACAAGAGAAACCTCCATGGGAACCAGTGTGGGGATAAGAAAGCTAAACTGTAATTGATGAGTTGCGAGAGGCTCAGTGTGGACAAATCTGAGAGTTACAAAAACTCCAGGGGACCCTGAATAGCTGAAACAATTTTGAGACAGAAGAAAGCTGGAAGCATCAATGCTCTCTCATTTCAAACTACATTACAGAGCTTTAGTAATCAAAACAGGGTGGTATTGGCATAAAAACCAGACACATAGATCGGTGGAACAGAATAGGGAGCACAGAAATAAACCCATGCAGATATGGTCAATTAATTTATGACAAAGGAGCCAAGAATATATAATGGGGAATATCTTCAATAAATGGTGTTGGGTAAACTGGACAGCCACATGCAAAAGAATGAAAGTAGACCACTATCTTACACCATACACAAAAATTAACTGAAAATGGATTAAAGACTTGAACATAAGACCTGAAACCATAAAACTCCTAGGAAAAAACATGGGTAGTAAGCTCCTTGACGGGTCTTGGTGATGATTTTTTTGAATCTGACATCAAAAGCAAAAGCAAAAATAAACAAGTAAGACTAATCAAACTAAAAAGGCTCTGCGTAGCAAAGGAAACCATCAACAAAATGAAAAGGGAACCTACCGAATGGGAGAAAATATTTGCAAATCACATATCTGATAAGGGGTTAATATCCAGAATATACAAAGAACTCATACAACTCAATAGCAAAACAACAATCTGATTAAAAAATGGGCAGAAAAACTGAATACACATTTTTCCAGAGAAGGCATACACATGGGTAACAGGCACACGAAAAAGTGCTCAACGTCACTAACCATCAGGGAAATGCAAATCAAAACCAGAATGAAATATCACCTCACACCTGTCAGAAAGGCTATCATTGAAAAGACAAGAAATAATAAGTGTTGGTGAGGATGTGGAGAAAAGGGAAGCCTTGTGCACTGTTGGTGGGAATGTAAATTGGCACAGCCACTATAGAAAACAGTATGGAAGTTCCTCAGAAAAATAACAAATGGAACTACCATATGATCTAGCAATTCCATTTCTGGGTATTTATCCAAAGAAATGAAAACGCTAATGAAAGGGTACATGCACCCCCATGTTCATTGCAGCATTATTTACAATAGCTCAGATATGGAAAAAACCTCAATGTCCACTGATGGATGAAAGGATAAAGAAAATGTGATGTTTATATACACAGTGGAATATTACTCAGCTGTAAAAAAGAATGAAAGCTTGCCATTTGCAACAACATGGAAGGACCTCAAGGGCATTATGCTAAATGAAATAAATCAGACAGAGAAAGACACATATCATATTATTTCACTTATATGGGGAATCTAAAAACAACCAAAAAACAACTCATAGATGCACAAAACTAGTGGTTTCTGGAGGCAAAGGGGTGAAGGGGTGGGAGAAATAGGTGAAGGGGTCAAAAAGTACAAACTTCCAGTTATAAATAAGTCATGGGGATGTAGTGTAGAGCATGATGACTATGGTTAATAATACTGCATTACATATTTGAAAGTCGCTAAGAGAATAAATCTTAAAAGTTCTCATCACAAGAAAAAAATTTTTAGTAACTGTAAGGTGATGGTGATCATTATTTTGGTGATCATTTTGCATTGTATACAAATATTGAATCATGTTGTATACCTGAAACTAATGTAATGTTACATGTCAATTATACTTCAAATAAAAATAACTGTTATTCTTAAAATTACTACTATTTTGAAAAGCAAGATGGTTGTTTTACCCACCTTAGAATTTCCAATGTCCAGCACAGTAACTGGAAAAAAAATAGATGTTAAACTTTTTTGTTAAAATTTAACTATAATTATTTCTCTCTTAAGATAAATAGTTACTGAAATAAATTGTTTATGGTAAAAAAAAAAAAACAAAAAAACCTCTCCAGGGGAACCCAGTCACAGGGAGGCTTCCATAGTATTGAGAGGTTTACCTCCAGGAGTTCTCCCAGGTCCTTACTGTGAATATTGGAGAAAAATCCCCTCATGCTTCTGGCTGGTGAGGGGAAAAGGAATTATTTTGAAATTTGCCAGAGCATTCTGTTCTTCTTAACATGGTTGCCCTTCAGGAGGAGCTATTTTGCTAGAGCCTAACTTCCTGGAGTTTTATCAAAGCCATACCTTACCTGAGGGTAGGGAAATACCTCACTCCAACCTGCTCTAGCCTTCCATGTGGAAGAAGGGGAACACTGAACTCCAGAAGGGAAACACTCAACTCCAGCTCCTTTTAGCTTTCCACATGGGAGAAAGGAAATACTCAACTCCATTCTTCTCTACCCAACCTATCCAACCTAAGAGGGGAAAAATCTGAGAAACAC